TGCGGCCGCGTGTGCCAAGCCGGGTTTGCGGGACCAGAGGCCGGCAGGAGATGAGGGTCGACCCCCACCTGCGCCGACGTTGGCTGAAAAGGAGCCAAGGGGAAAAGGGCCTGGGGCCTGAGTAGAGCCTGCCCAGTCCTGACTCGCTGCCGCCCTCGCGGCCTAGCTAGAGCCTGGGAAGGGTGCTAAGCACGGCCTGGACCCTTCCGTAGGGACATCCCTCCAAGGCTGCCAGACGGGTGGCCAAACGCCGCCTGGATCCTGTGTGGAGAGCAGGAGGCCCCAGCCCCTTGATCCTTGATTCCTGGACTGGGGAGCGCACATGGAACGCCTGTTCTGGCAGCCGCTAACTTCCTAGGGTGCACTAGCAGTGGGCCCTGCTGCACCCCTCGAGGTATAATACATTGACTTCCTGTCTGTGAGCCCCATCCAACCGAGTACCACCTTCCTCTTTCCTAATCCTGCCTCAGTATTTGGCCAGGGTCACCCTGCTTTGTGTAGAAGTCCCAGAATCTTCCCATGGGTTCCCGCTTCAGGAGACAGGAACTCCGCTTCTTGCCTGGGTGGGAAGGATCAGGTTCTTGAAATGAAGGTGTGGACTCTGGAGACTGTCTGGCTTTAAGGTCAGAGGTCAGTGGCAGAGGACTCCTGCTGAGTCATTGGTCTTGGGGGGATAGGCCCCTTCCCTTCAGCTGAGTCAGTAGCAAATGTGGGGAAATAGGCTGTTGGGGCTCTTCATTGCCGACTGGGGAATGACCACTGCCCTGTCCATAGTCCAGGGGGTGTGTACCCTTAAAAGGAAGCAGGCAAAGTATTAGGTCATTGGAGAAGGTAGGTACTGCTGTTGGGCCAGGCTGCCCAAAGTGGCCACTCAGGACTGGGACCCCCCTCTTGACCAGCAGTATCTATAGGAAGGCTCCTCATGGAGGTCCACAGGCTAGATAGACCACCCCGTTACCCACAGCTTGGACAACATGGACTCCCCTCCCCAGTGAAATTGGAGGGATGGCAGTGTCCCTTGCAGTGTCTTCCCCATGCTGGAGGTGCCCTCTCAAATAGCAGTATAGTACACCAGACCCATATGGCCAGATGCTACCTCTAAACATGACCTGACTGTGGTCAGTGATTGACCCTGTGGCAAGGGCCCTGTCTAGGTTGACAGGCCAGAGTTCACTCCAGGTGGGCTGTGGGACCTGCTCCTGCTACTCCCAGGTCAGCAGCCCCTGACTCACATGTCTGGTGGAGAGAAAAGTAGTGTGTGTCTGCAGTCAGGGCAATGACCCACAAAGGAAATCAAGCCAGCTTTTCCTAGGACCAGTAGACAGGTAACATCCAGAGCTGGTGAGGGAGTGGTTATGGGGACTAGTCCCCAATTTCCCAGCTTCTTGTCACATTCTTTCAGTTAGTGTGTCATCCTAGGAACACCAAGCAGCATAGCTTCCTGGGCTGTACCCAGCAGGGTCCTCAGCCCCAATATTCTCAGGCAAGTGCCTCCTTCCAACCCCAGTGCAGTCCAGGTGGCCAGCGCCCAATCTTCACATCACCCAGCCACACCTGGGGCATACTCCTCCCTCTGGGTGGAACCAGTTCCCCAGCCAGGCCCAACATGTGAGAATCAGTGTGCTAGGCAAGACAGGAATCTTCTTCTTTCCCCAAACTGAGATAGAGTGGGGATGGGATGAACAGTCTCTGGGGCAGGCTAGGGATAGAAGTCACAAGGTCCCCAGGTACTCAGTGATCATGTCCGATGGCTTCCCAAGCAGCCAGACTCTATGGAGGCCTACTCGAGAGCAGCATGGGTGAGGAAGCTGATATGGATCTGGCCCACTGTGTCCTTAAAGGCTTTGACTTAATCCCAGTGGGAGGGAGGGAGGCAATAGTTCCAGGGACTTGAAAATGTCCCTCTGGCAGGGACAAGACTGAATAAGTGGGGAGCCAGGTCCTACAGGGAAGGGCTGGCACCAAGAGGCTTGGTCCAGGGAGCTGTTGTGTAGGACCAGTAGCAAAAAAGAGCTGAACTGGTGAACTGGCACAAAATCTAGAGGTCAGAAGGCTGGGAGGTCAGGGATTGTGGGGCAAAGAGGTAAACCCTAAGAATGGGGAGGAAGTGTGCCAGGGGCTGTGGGTGGAACAAAGGTTGTTATCCCAGGATGAAATCAGTGCTGTTAGGTCATGTGTGATGTCTTGTCAGTCCTCCCAGCTGTGTTGTACAGCAGAGGTTACACACTAGCGGCACACAGTGACCTGCTGTAGGTCTCCCAGGCAGTGGGGACAGTACCCACTTGTCCATTTGGCCTAATATCAGGGACCTACAAAGAGGGTGTTTTAAAAGAAACTATGAGTCTAGCCTAGATTTGTCTGAACCAACAGTCAAAATATTTTAAATCTATTTTTTATAGAGAAAGGGACCCATATAGCAAAAACATGTCTGGGTCATGAGTATCATAATGTAACCCTGAATGAGGGGTGGAGTAAAGTCAGAGGCCCTACCTGGGAGCTGGTGACAGTGGGGTCCCAGCCAGTGATGCCAGAGGAAAGGGGACAGGGCTGAGATCCCTGTGACCTGTCAGGCACTGCACATCCCTCCCAGGCCTGGGCTGAGCTCAAGTCTCTGGCACCCCTTCCACCTGGGAGGAGAGGGATGGACCCCTAGTGCTCCTATCCCTAGTTAATGTCTCCTTACTCCTCTCCCCAGAACCCCACCCACAACATGGCTCGTCGCTCCCAGAGTTCCTCACAGGGGGACAACCCTCTGGCACCTGGATATCTGCCACCACACTACAAGGAATACTACCGCCTGGCGGTGGATGCACTGACTGAGGGTGGGCCAGAAGCCTACAGCCGCTTCTTGGCATCTGAGGGGGCACCTGACTTCCTGTGCCCTGAAGAGCTAGAACACGTGAGCCGCCATCTGCAGCCCCCACAGCATGTTGCCCGCGAGCTCCCTGAGGGCAGCCCTCCTGATGTGGACATGGATGGCTCCTCTGGCACCTACTGGCCAGTGAACTCAGACCAGGCCGTGCCTGAGCTTGACCTGGGCTGGCCCCTGACCTTTGGCTTCCAGGGAACTGAGGTCACCACACTGGTGCAGCCGCCACCACCTGACAGTCCCAGCATCAAGGATGAGGCTCGCAGAATGATCCGCTCTGCACAGCAGGTGCACTGTCCTGGGCTTGGTGGGCTGTGGAGAAGGGCTTCAAGCAGGAGCCTGGGGGCTTAGGATAAAACAGGGGTCCCTGGCAAAAATGCTCCAGAGCCACCAAAAGCTTAGTGCAGGCTTCAGGCTCTGTTCAGGTTTGCTTGCTGATGGTCATGGCTAGTGTTTAGAAACTCAGGGATTGTAGGGATGTTGGGCTCTCCCAGCCTGCGTTCGTTGTTCAGATAATTCTCTCTAGTCCTGCCCTATCCCCCAGCAAGTGGCAAACTGCAAAAGCAGCCTGCTAAACCAGGGAGACAAGCAGCAGGGCCAGATGCTAAAGACCCTGAAGGCAGGGACTCCCCTCCTGGGGGATCACATGGGTTCACCTTGCCTTCCCCCACCAGTTGAAAGACAACCCTCTAACAGGATGTAAACCCTGTGCCTGCATGGGGCTCTTTATGGGCCACCAACTCTTTTGTTTCCCCCCTTTGGTACTGGAAATCAAACTCACAGGCAGGAGTGGCACCACTGAGGTACATCCCCAGCCTCAATTTGTTTTTTGGGTTCTTGGGGGGTGCTGTTTTTTGTTTTGTTTGGGGGTTTTTGGTTTTTTGAGACAGGATCTCACTATATAGGTTCAAGCAGGCCTGGAACTCACTATATTGCCCAGGTTGGCCTCAAACTCTCCGCAGTCCTCCTGCCTCAGCCTCCTGAGTGCTGGGATTACAGCCATGTGAAGGCCGCCAATATGACTGAACAGCAGCCCCACATGTTCCCTGCCAGGCCCCATCTTCCTGAATAACCTTCCCAGATAGGGCTGCTCTTCCCTGGGGTGGGCTAATGACCACGTTATAGTGTTTGTCAGTGATCTATGAGGATAAGGCCTTGAGAATGTGATGGGGACAGTAAGAGTCTGCCCTCTCCCCTGACAATCCCCACAGGTGGTGGCTGTAGTGATGGACATGTTTACGGATGTAGACCTGCTCAGTGAGGTGCTAGAGGCCGCTGCGCGCCGCGTCCCAGTCTACATCCTGCTGGATGAGATGAATGCACAGCACTTCTTGGACATGGTTGACAAGTGCCGAGTCAACCTACATCATGTGGACGTAAGTGCCCCCCAGGTGGGAGGAGGGGAAAAAGCCTGAGCGTGGACCTGACTCCCTCTCCTGCCCTAGTTCCTGCGCGTGCGCACTGTGGCCGGCCCCACCTACTACTGCCGCACCGGGAAGTCATTCAAGGGCCACATAAAGGAGAAGTTTCTGCTAGTCGACTGCGCTGTGGTGATGAGTGGGAGCTACAGGTGTGCCCAGCTGGGTGTCCCACAGCCCCAGCCCCTCCCCATGAGATCATCCCTCCAGAAGCCCTTCCCCTGTAGCCCCCAACACAGCCCTACAGACCCATCCCACCTGGGCCCCCTACCTTTCCTTGACTTTGACCCCTACCCACCCACAGCTTCATGTGGTCCTTCGAGAAGATCCACCGCAGCCTGGCGCACGTGTTCCAGGGAGAGCTGGTCTCCAGTTTTGATGAGGAGTTCCGCATCCTCTTTGCACAGTCTGAGCCTCTGGTGCCCTCGGCGGGGGCACTGGCCCGCATGGACGCCTATGCCCTGGCTCCTTACGCAGGTGCCGGGCCCCTAGTGGGTGTCCCTGGGGTCGGGGCACCAACTCCCTTCTCATTCCCTAAGCGGGCGCACCTGCTGTTCCAACCGCCCCGGGAAGAAGGCCTGGGCTTCCCCTCCTTCCTGGACCCTGACCGCAACTTCCTCTCTGCCTTCCACCGGGAGGAGATGCCACGGGGGACTGGAGGCATCCTGGAGCCACATGCAGGGATGCGGCCATTGTCACGGCGGTTGGACATGGAGGCCGGCCCCAGTGGAGAGCTCCCGGGCACACGGGGCTTCTTCCAGGCACGGCACCTGGAGATGGACGCCTTCAAGCGGCACAGCTACACAGCCGCCGATGGCACAGGTGCTGTGGAGAATTTCGCGGCTGCCCGCCAGGTGTCACGCCAGACATTCCTCAGCCACGGTGATGACTTTCGCTTCCAGACTAGTCATTTCCACCGTGACCAGCTCTACCAGCAGCACTACCAGTGGGACCCACAGCTTAATCCTGTGCGCCCACAGGGCCTATTCGAGAAGATCCGTGCTGGCCGCCCAGGCTTCGCCGATCATGACGACTTCACGTTGGGTGCTGGGCCACGGTTCCCAGAACTCGGCCCTGACGGGCACCAGCGGCTGGAATATGTGCCATCCAGTGCGTCTCGCGAAGTGCGCCATGGCTCGGACCCCGCCTTTGGGCCAGGCCCGCGGGGTCTTGAACCTGGCGGTGTCCTGCGCCCAAATCTGAGCCAGAGGTTCCCCTGCCAGGCGGTGGTGAGGCAAGGCACAGACCCTGCCATGGAGACAGAGCCCGAGCGTAAGGGGGGTGCCGAGGGACGCGCAGGGCTCCGGCACTGGCGCCTTGCCTCCTACCTGAGCGGCTGTCATGGCGAAGACACAGGTGAGGAGGGCCTACCCACGCCCATGGAAGCCGAGGTCTATGAGGACGACGTGCTGACTCCTGTGGGCCGAGCCACCGCTGGGGACTTGCTCCCCTCAGCCTTCCGTGGCCCTACTGCCTTCCCAGCCAAGGGCCCTGTGCCGGGCTCAGGAAGCGGAGATGGTGCAGAGCGCGAGGGTGTGGAGGAGGCTGGCCTGGCCAAGCAGGACTCCTTCCGCTCACGCTTGAATCCGCTCATCCAGCGCAGCTCGAGGCTCCGATCCTCGCTCATCTTTGCATCCCAGGCACAGGCAGAGGGCACGGGTGGTGCCACAGGGGCCACCACTGAGAAGGTACAGCTGCTGCACAAGGAGCAGACCATCAATGAGACACTGGGACCTGGTGGAGAGGCCATTCGCTCCACTGCCTCCGCGAAAGTGGCTGAGCTACTGGAGAAGTACAAAGGTCCAGCGCGTGACACTGGGGGAGCTGTCACTGTCTCCAGCCATAGCAAAGCCGTGGTGTCCCAGACGTTGCGGGAAGAGATGGCAGCAGTGGGCACTGGAAGGTGTGAGCGCCGCAGCCTGGAGAGCTGCCTGCTTGACTTGCGCGACTCCTTTGCTCAGCAGCTGCACCAGGAGGCTGAGCGGCAGCCTGGTGCTGCCTCACTCACAGCCGCACAGCTGCTTGACACACTGGGCCGGAGCAGCGCTGACCGCCTGCCCTCTCGCTTCCTTTCTGTTCAGGGCCGTTCCACCTCCCCGCAAGGGCAAGAGAGCCCCCCACTAGATGGGCCTGGAGCCCACCAAGTGCTTCATTCTGAGCCAAGAGGTAGCCCCACCTTGGCCTACCCAGAGCGGAAGGGGAGCCCTACGCCTGGGTTCCCCAATCGGAGAGGCAGCCCAACTACAGGATTTGTTGAGCAGAAAGGGAACCCCACATCACCCTACCCAGAGCGCAGGGGCAGCCCTGTGCCTCCTGTGCCGGAACACAGGGGCAGCCCTGTGCCTCCCGTGCCAGAGCGCAGGAGCAGCCCAGGGCCCCCTGTTCCTGAGCGTAGGGGTAGTCTTACCCTGGCCTTGCCTGCAGAGTCCCCAAAGACCACCCCCACAGAGGAGGTGGCAGGCAGCCCTATGGAGGTGCTGCGCAAGGGGTCCTTGCGCCTCAGGCAGCTGCTGAGCCCCAAGAACGAGCTACGGGAGGGCAAGGGCAGCTTCCCAGTGCTGCAGGAGAATGGGCAACCTGAGAGTCCCCGGCGACCATCTCTGGGACGAGGGGACAGCACAGAGGCTACAGGAGATGAACGTGGCCCCAGGTCACGCCTAGCCTCGGCCACAGCCAATGCCTTGTACAGCAGCAACCTACGGGATGACACCAAGGCCATTCTGGAGCAGATCAGTGCCCAGGGTCAGAAGCACCGTGGGGTTCCTGCCCCAGGCCTAGACCCAACCCACAGCAGCCCTGAGCTGGGCCAAGCACCAGTTGCCGGAGGCCTGGCCCCAGATATGTCTGACAAAGACAAGTGCTCAGCCATCTTCCGCTCAGACAGTATGGGGGCACAAGGCCGGCTAAGCCGCACGCTACCTGCCAGTGCGGAGGAGCGTGACCGACTGCTGCGCCGCATGGAGAGCATGCGCAAGGAGAAGCGTGTCTATAGTCGCTTTGAGGTCTTCTGCAAAAAAGATGAGGCTGGCAGCCCAGGGTCGGGGGAAAACTTGGTAGAGGAGGACACCAGGGACAGCAAGGTGGGCAAATTCATGCCCAAGATCCTAGGCACATTCAAAGGCAAGAAATGAGTGTCCTAGCCCTGTAGACCAGGGTGCTACATTGCACACTGCCAACCTGCACCTGGAGCACTGAGCGGGCAAGGGAGCTCCATGTCCCTGAGTCAGGGATGGTTGCCAGGCCCTCATGCCAAAGCAGTCTGGTGGCTTCAGCCTTGGCCTCTCCTTCCCAGGGCACAGCCCTACTGTCTACAGCTCCCTTCTTTCCTGGGCACCCTCCCCAGCTCTGCCTCCCTGTCTCCTTGACTAAGACCCCACCCCCACCTGTGGGACCTTTATTCACCTCAGGGAGCCTTCTATGTGCCTTAGCCCCGTTTTTCAGGGGTTCTCCATAACTTTGCGGCTCAATTTTGTGATCTCCATGCCTTTTGTCTCCTCAGGGTTTCTGTTCTCAGGGTACTCATCTCAAAGCTTCCTGAATCCATCCTATGGCTCTTATCTGCTGACAGCCCCATCTGCCCTCAAACCTCCCTTCTTCCTCCCCACTCGGTCCTTCTTCTCTCACCTCCATCTCTTTCTCTGGGGTTTTCTTGCTTCACTGATCAGACCCCATCTACTTGTGGCCTCTTGGCACCTGCCTTGCTATGGGGAAGGCAGGGCTGGCTGCAGGCACTTGTGAGGGAGAGGTGGGGGACAGACTCCAAGGACATTCCTCTTGGAGTGACAGGGAAACTGGATAGGGCAGACTTCTGGGAAGGAGGGACACAGGACTCCACAGGGGTTGCCCTGCCACCTAACAGCAGCTGTCTTCAGCCAAGTCTGCCCCTCCTACAGCATAGCCCTGGGTAACCTTGTAAGGCACAGGAGAGGAGCACTAGGTTGTGCAGCACAATAAAACACCATCTGAACAGACATCCTCGGCCCCAGCCTCATTAAGTATCCCCCACACAGGAACTATCCCAAGCTATGCCCCAGAAAGAGGCCCTTTTAAATTATTTTGACACAGGGTCTTGCTAAGCTGCCCAGGCTGACCTGGAACTCTTGAACTTCCTGCCTCAGTCTCCCAAGTAGCCGGGATTACACCCAGCTCAAATAGTTTTTATTACTACATCATTATTATTATAAACACAAGAGGGAAAAGATGTGAGGAGCAAGGCTAATTAACAAAAGCAGTTCTGATACCAGCAACTGAGAAAAAGGTGGTGGCAGTAGTGTTTAGTGGCCCTACTTTGACCCTGACAGCTGTCTGGGTTCCAGAGTCACCTCCCAGGTGTATGAGAGCAGGGACTTGGGGCCGAGTGAGAAAGGTCCCCTGGGGGATGGATGAGCTAGAGCATTTCTTGGCCTCGTGCTTGCTGACAAGGTTATATTACGGTGTGTTATATGGCATCAGAGCAAACAGGTTCCAGGCCCACTGCTAAGGGAAAACCCTCGAAGGAAGAGGAAGAACATTCTTCCCATAGAGAGGCTAGAGGCAGCCTCCTGGTCTGCACTGTTCACATCTTGCCAAGACAACCTAAAACATGATGTTGCACATTCTGTTGTTGACCATAAAGTTGGCACAAAATATTCCAACATATATTTAGGCATCAGAGCAAACAGGTTCCAGGCCCACTGCTAAGGGAAAACCCTCGAAGGAAGAGGAAGAACATTCTTCCCATAGAGAGGCTAGAGGCAGCCTCCTGGTCTGCACTGTTCACATCTTGCCAAGACAACCTAAAACATGATGTTGCACATTCTGTTGTTGACCATAAAGTTGGCACAAAATATTCCAACATATATTTATATATATATATATATATATATAAAATCACCCAATTATATGCAACCCTGAACCTCAGGTCCCTAAGTTTCTCTTCTGGACACCCACAAATCCTGGAGGGTGCACTCCAGACTATTCCTACCTCCCATGCTCCTCCTGACTCATCCACCCCCATATACCAACTTTTCACTTCGGGGTCCTCCCTCCACTTCTAAGCTCCTGTGTTGGTGATTTGAGGGCATTCACCTAGGGTCACTTGGCCACCAAGACCAGCAGATGCCTCCTAGCCTCACCCTGTTGCTCCTGCCCAGCCTGCGTCCTTTCTGCCCTGGTGCCAAGTTCCCAGGCCTCAAAGGCCCACCCACCTGTGGCATTACTCCTACGCCCTCAGTTGTTCTTCCAGCTTGCTCACCACCTTGAGGCTATGCCTCAGGCTCTTGACTCCTCAGAAGCCCTCTGAGTGAACTACCTTAGCTGACTCATGTTAGACTCAGGGCCCCATGCCCCTGCTTTCTGGCCCTCTCGGGAGCCAGCACCAGCCCCATTCCAGTGCAATCTCCCAGCCTCTGGTCACACCTCATCTTTCCTGTACATCCCCCAAGATAACCAGGAGCTTTTGACTGTGAGCTCCTCCAACCAGGCAGTGGGGAAGTGGTGCCCCTGCCTAGGGGTTAGGTATAATGCAGAACACCCATGGTACCCTTGGGCCCCCGGATCTCTTTGGCCCCCTTATACTCCTGGTCTAAACTCATACCAGGCCCTGTGCCTGGTGGTAGCCAGAGAAAGTAGCCTTGAGCCCCATAAAACATGTCTAGGTTGTCCCCCACCCTTCGACCACCAAGACCTAGACCAGTCAGTCACTGTGCCAGGAGGCACAGAAGCCAGTCACTGTGTTGGTGGGCACAGGCTGCAGTTAGTGACAATGAGAGGGAAGGCCCAGGGGGAGCAAGTGTTACTAGGGTGGGCTGCCCTCTTCTCACTCCCCCTTTCCTCTCTGGCTCACAGTTACATTACCTGCCTAGGTGCCAGTCACCATGTATCTGTCCACAAATTCTTTTCCCAGACAGAAAAGGACTATCTGGAGCAGCCTGGACCCTGCAGTAGCCCCAAGCTGGGATCTGATGGTGTTTAGGGACAAAGCAGGCAGTAGGAAACGTATGGACAAAGGACAGGAAGATAGCCTAAAGTGCACAGCAGGCCAGACCTAGGTGGACAAGAGACACAGATGACAACGGCCAGGCCCAGGCAGCTTTGCACTGCGCTATTGTTCTAGACTGGTACAGAGAATGCAGGTTCTCAGATGTGGAGTATGTGGGAAAAGTATAAGGGCCCTCAGACTAGGGGATGCTATGGCCTAGGAAGGAGCCCTCTCAGAAAGGAACTCCTCAAAAGGGAGTAGAGGTGCAAGCAGCTAGTTGGACTGGGACAAAGATTTTATTGGAAAGAAATCATTGGGCCTGGGATGGGAAATTTGTGTGCTCTCCTGAGGACATCAAAACAGGAAGTGTGAGGTGGGCAGGCAGCTCACCCATGGGGTCCAGGAAGCAGAGGTAGGTGGCCTAGTGCCGAGTAACACACAGTCCCATAGGCCTGGGAGTAGCCCCCGAGTGCAGCCCTGGCTTCGCCCTGGGCCCCCTGTGAGGCTGAGGTCCTGAACATCCTCCGGCCAGGTCGAGGCTCTGGGGCTTCCTGGAGAAGCCTGGGAGGGACCTGTACATGATTACAGGACACTGTCAGGGTGGGTGAGTGGAGGGAAGGAGGGTCCTGAGGGAACATGGATAGGCACTGGTGGCCTGGCTCACCTGAAGCACACGCCGGGTGGGGTGACCTCGAATCAAGGCCTGGTTGGCTACTTGGGCTGCTGCCTGCATAGTCAGAGAGGGTACCGTGCCTCTCACAGTTGGCTTCACCTGGGAAGGTGGCGTGTTACAGGGTTACTGAAAGGTACAGCAGAGTGAAGGGGGTCTCTCTTCCCATTCCTGCCCTCCCTTGACTCACCCCAGAGGGGGCCCAGGGAGGCTCCAAGGCCACCCCAAGGGGCGGCCTGTCCCTCCTGCCTGGGGCCTGAGCTTGGAGCAAGAAGGCTGACCTCTGCCTTGGCATGTTCCTGGCTACACTGGGGGCTTCTGGAGCAGGCACACCTGTAACAACCCTGGGTTAGGTATGATCTGCAAAGAGTGGTGGCCCCACATAGAAGGGACCAGGGATGTGACCTGAGTGGGGCAACCGAAGCTCACACACCATTCTCTGGGTCCTGACCCAGGCTAGTCTGTGGCCTGGGTCCTGGGTTCCAGGCAGGTGCCCTGATAGGGAGCTGGGGATTGATTTGGGACTTGAGAAAGTGGCCCTGGGCACAGGAGGTCCTGGGCTCTGTCCCCGAGGTGACACCCCCCAGACCTTCCTTTCTTGGACCATGGCTGTTGCCTCTCCACTCCAGGATGATCTGCAGGTGGGAGAGGCGTTGAGGTCAGTAAGATGGGAAAAGACCTCCAGGGTGTTGAAGTCAGATGAGGGGAAAGATCAAGGGCCGAGCACCTGGTAGAGGCGGTTGCGGTACTCTGATGCAGAGAGCTGGTCTTCTTCGTGCACTGGCCACTGTATGTCCACACCCCGTGTCCTCTCTCTGTCTGGGCAGTGGAACCTGCCAGGCCAGGGAGGCAGGTGTAATGGAGCGGGGAGTGATCCCCTTGGCCTCCCAGCCCACCTGGCATTTTGAACCAACCCTTAACACAGCCCCACCTCTGCACGTAGGGGTGCTTCAGCGCCTGGGCTGCACTAAGCCGCTTGTCTGGGGCAAACACCAGGAGTTGCCTAAGGAGATCCAGAGCCTCCGGGGGAGTGTCTGGCGGCAGGAGGGTGTCCAGTGTCTGTCGTGGCCTACAGCAGCCTCTTGTCATCTCTCCAGGCCCCTCAGCCACTGTCTTCCCCAAGTTGTCTGTGGCCTGGGCTGGGCTTCCAATCCTTTGCCTGCCCCCTTTCCCTGACTCAGTAGATCCCCCAAACCAGACGTGCAGGCAAGGTAAATAGACCCCTCTCGACTTTCTTACCCACCTCCTCAACCCTGGGGAAGTTCCTCCTGCCATTCTGGCCCCGCCCTCAGATTTTGGGGCCTTCCCCACAGCGCCTGCCCCACTGGCAGAGTTATGTCAAGGCTAGAGTCTCCTCATCTGTAGCGTGACCAGTGGTTGCTCAGGTGATAGCCCCCCACCTAAATGCCCCACTCACCTGGACCCCAGGCGTTGCAGAATCAAGTCACTGTAGCCTGAGCCAAGAGCCAGGAGGTCTGAGGGGAGGGTGGCAGAAGGAGGTATGACCAGACCTGCCTGGGGCATGGGGCCACTCAGGGGGTCTGGGGGCAGACATCTCTTCGGCACCATCGACTGCAGTGTGAGCCCCTGTGTGAGTCTGAGCATTCACAGTTGTATGTGCATTTGCACCTGTACACCGTCAACCCCACTCACATGAAGATGTTGGCACTGGCCTCCTGGATCAATCCCTTGCCATCTCTACCAGAGAAAGCAGGGACTTGGGGAGAGAAGAGGACACCCCTGGGTTCTGCAGGTGTCACCCCTGGCCTGCTCCACCCCCACCGCTTCCCTCAGTGCCCATGCCCCTGCTCTATGCTGCTCCAGCTTCCAGCACAGCAACACTCCTCACCGCTGCTCCCCACATCCCTCAGCATGCTGGAGCTTTGTCCTGACCTGGCTGTGTATCACAGTTTGGCCATCATAGTCCCCCTGGCCAATCCTGCCTCCCTTGCAGCCCCTTGCAGCCCCTGTGCAGCTCTCCACACTGGCCTGCAGCAGCTGCTCTCTAGGCCTCCATACACAGTACCCACCCTCCCTCCCAGGGCTCCTGAGACTCCTGCCATCCCCATTCTCACAACTCCCTCCCTGTGAAGTTCTGGCCTGTCAGGCAATGTCCCTCTCTCACCCACAAGCGCTCACCCTCTGCCGATGGAGGTGGGATGGTCTCCAGGATCAGCTGCAACTGGTGCAGTGTAGATGAGCCTGGGAACAGGGGCTGCCCTCGCAGCATCTCTCCCAAGATGCAGCCGAGGCTCCACATGTCCACCCCAAGGGTATACCTAGGCAGAAAGGGGTACGAACAAGGGCGCGCTCAGAGGCTGAGGTGGGGGTTCTGGGACGGGGAGGGAAGGATGCAAGTAGACGTAGGCAGACCTAGGGGGCCCTCAACTGGACAGAAAGACATGCCATGGGGTGGTGGGACCTTCAGGGAGAAGACAGGGGTGGTTGGGGGTATTACCAGCGTGAAGACAGGAGCACTTCGGGAGCCCGGTACCAACGTGTGGCCACATACTCTGTCAGGGCCTGGCCCTCGGGCCCCTCAGGGAGGTTGTTCAGGGAGCGGGCCAGACCAAAGTCACAAAGCTTCACCAAGCAGTTGGCATCCAGGAGAACATTGGATGGCTGGAGAGAGGAGGTGTGCTGAGGGCTGGCAGTCTGGGGATACACACTACCACTGGGGGCCAGGGGGCTGGAGGCAGATGCAGTCTAGGGTCCAACCTTCTGGTCCCGATGGATGACATGCCCTGAGTGGATGAACTTGGTGGCCTGCAGGAGCTGGTAGAAGATGTAGCGCTTGTGGATATCCTCCAATAGGTTACCCTTCTGTATGACGGCATTCAGGTCAGTATCTGGAGGTAGGGGACATTCAGGTCAGTCTGGGGTGGGAAATGAACAGGTCTATCCCACTTTGAATCCTACCTGGCTATCAAAGGCGATCATGGGCACTCCCTGCCATGCCATCTGTCAGTGTCTCTATCCTGTTCACTGTCCATACAACTATAAAAGTTTGTGGAATTATTTTAATACTTACACCATGTTGTCTTTATTTAATAAAAAGAGTAGAAAAGGAAAATATAGCTGCACACAAGGACAAAGCAGGAGCCCCTTACAGGCATGGTCCAGTCCATGGTGGTGAACCTATGGCACCCAAGGCACAGCAGGCTGTTTGTATCATTAAAGCTCTAAAAGTTCACCATTACTGGTCTAGGTGGTCCCTTCCAGGCTCTGCAGGCCAACACTTGTAGGTTGTGAGTTCTCCGGGCACAAGATGAGGGCACTATAGGGACTCAAGCAACAAGGGGACACCTGAGGGAGCCAGACCATGAGGTGGGGTCTGGGGTCAGGACACAGATAGGCAGGAAGCTGAATGTAGCCTCTTACCCATAGATTCAACTACCAGGTATATGTCCCTGTCGTTGTCTGCCCGGATCACATCGAGGAGGCGGATGATGTTGGGATGGTCTCCAAACTCCTGGGGAGAGCAGGTTGCTGCTGGAAGGCCAGGGGTTTTGCTATGGGGATTCAGGGACCCAGCTTCCCACTTGTCTGGAGAGACTGCACCTAGAGAAGGGAAGCAGCCAGGATGTCCTGGACCACTCACCTGGAGCAGCATAATTTCCCGGAATGTTCTCTGGAAGAGACAGAAATAACCAAAGGTGACACTTGTCACCCAAATATCCACTCAGCCAGGAATGCCAGGAGGCCTGCTGGGATTGGGCTCCTATCACACCTGAGCTCCCAGGCACCCAAGCTTCCCCCTACTTTGTCCCTATTCACTTACCTGGGCATCTGTTTTATCCCTAAAGGCATCGAAGATTTTCTTGATGGCCACGACTTCACCAGTCCTCCGATCCACTGCCTTCCACACAATGCCATAGGCCTGTGAAAGAAAGCTAGTCTCCTACCCACCTAGCCCGCTCCACAGAAAAGCTCTTCCTTCCCACTCTGGGTTGAAGGAGTATATGAGCTCTGGAGCTCTGGACCTGCAGAGGGGAAGGTAGACCGCAAGAGGCTATGGTCACCAGGGAAGCCCCTGGGAGGAAATGAGGTCACAGGTGAGTCCCCAGGATTGTCTTTTTCCCCTCCAACCCACCCAGGCATTCTCAGTCCCATTCTCTCACACCCATCCAGCTTGCTTAGCAAATCCTGCTGAATTCCTCCTGAATCTGACCACTTCCTACCACCTCTGCTACCTCTGTTGTTGTCTAGGCCACTGGCATCTCTTGCTGGATCACCATCCTATCCTCTTAATTTCTCCTGTCACTTCCACCCTCTCCATGGTGGCTCCTCCACCAAGCAGTCAGAGTGAGCCTTGGAAAGTAGCAGGGATGTAGCTCAGTGGTGCCCTGCCTGCCTGGCTAGTACAAGGTCCTGATTTCGAACGCTGGTACCATGAAAAAAGAAAAAAGAAAGAAAGTGACACCAACAACTCCTACAGTGAATGACAATAAAGGCCAAAATCCCTGAAGTTTCTCAGAAATCCCACCCCCACCCTATTTTACTCACCCTAGTTTTTTTTAAAAACATGTTTTAAGATTTTTTTTTTATTTTATTTTTTTGGTACTGGGGATCAAACTCACCTTTCGAGGCAGGTGGTGGAACAACTGAGCTAAATCCCCGCACCCTGGCTTTCTTTCTTCTATTGGGTCACTCAAAACTGTGTGATTTTATCCAGCCCCTTTGACTCAGGGGCTCTGGACTTGCTAAACTGTCTAGTATCCTCTTATTCTCTCCCCTCAGTCAACACTGAATACATCTACACAACCAACCACACATCTTCACATAGAAGCTCACATTCAAAAATCACAAACCCACATGATTCTACCCCAGCCCCATATACTCACCAGACCCCCCCCCCAGGTGGCTGAAGCAGGCACAGCCTTCTGGGTGTGTCCTGTGGGCACCTAGAGAGGTAGCCTGGAAGCAGGAGTGGTAAGCTGGTGGAGGCACCAAGTTGGCTCCTCCTGAGACCACGGGGCCCTGTGAGTCACCCCTTTCAGAGCCAGGTACCTGGTGGTGGTGGGGGTCACCCAGTTCCCATTGGGGAAAAAGACACGGAGGGGCTCATGGCCAAGGCCACCCCTCCAGTCCTGGAGGAGGCAGAGTGTAATCCGGAAGAGGTGCTGACTGGAGGGGTTAAACTCTGGAAGGGTCCTCGCCTTGCTTACCCCTTTCCCCAGCCGCCGCTTGAGCACGTATCTCTGGGCTACGTGGCGGTCCACCTCAGCAGTACACATGGCGGGCGGGTAGGCAAGGCACAGGTTTGTAGGCTCAGCAGCTCACCCGAGGTTGGACCTGTTGATCAGTTGCCATGGGAACGGTGAGCTCCCCTCCCCTGCTCCTGCGCCTGCGCCTAGCCTGCTTACACTGGGAAGCGGAGGCTGCAGGCCTCTCCCAGAGCTCGAGGCTGCGTCAGCCCCACCCCTGGACTCTGCCTGCGCTGACTCTGCCCCTTAACCGTGCGCCCCATGCACTCTGGTTCCCCAGCCGCAATGGCCCTTCTCCCACTTCTGCAACGCAGCCCTCAGTTCAATCCCCAGTAGGGGGTGGGGTGGGGTCTGTTGCAGGTCAGTAGTTGTATAAAATAGTGACAAAAACAAACAAACAAAAAAATACATGAACAACTAGAAAAAACTCAAACAGTGAAGACAAATAAAACCCCAAATTTTTCCTAGATTCCACAGTTTCTACAGTGGTAAAATTACCCTGTGCTACACAGCTCTAGATTTCTTAGTTCTTCATCTCCATTTCTGCCTTACCTCTTTGTAGACCCACCTCAAACTGTTTTGGGGACGTGCTGGAAAAGGAAGGAAGGATAGATTGGCGTGACAAGACAAGATAGGGCAGGGTGCATGCTGCTATCTGGGCGTGCACACCTCAGAACTGTGAGATTCCTCCACATGCCTTCTGGAATGGCTACCACTGAGAAGACTGACCTCACCAAGTGAGGGACAGGATGCCGCTACCCCGTGAACAGGAGTACACAATGCTACAACCACTTTAGAAAACAATATGGCAGTTTCTTAAAATATTGAACATAAATTTGTCTTGTCATCCAGCTTTTATTCCAAGGTGTTTAGCCAAGAGAAACAAAAACATACATCCATACAAAGAATTCTAATAGCCCCAGATAGGTTGCTTCCAGCATTTGAAAAGGGAAGGGATAACCAAATTGTGGTCCATCCAATGAATGGAAAACTGCTCAGCAATAAAAAGGAATAAAGTAATGATATACACAACAGCATGGATGAATCTCAAAATCTTTGTCAGCTGAAAGCAGGCAGCCTCCCCCCTTGAAAGAGTACTTTTCTATTATAAAGCGTTCTAGAAAATGCCAACTACTGGTCAGTGGAGGTTTAGGGCTGGTGGAAGGAGAGACAAATTCCAAGTGTAGGAGCGAGGTTGTAGAAGTATCAGAAATAATCGATTGTGGTGATAGTTCAGACATAAGTATACACCCCAAAGCTACTTGAATAGGGCCAGGTATGTTGGCACACGCCTGTAATCCCAGCATTCGAGAGTCTGAGGTAGGAGCATCATATCAGTTTGAGGCCAGCCTGTGCCAATAGTGAGCTCAAGGCTAATAGTGAACTTCACAACAAGACTTTATTTAAAACAAAACAACAACAACAAAACCCTGTTTGAATAGCATACTCCAAATATGTGAAGTTTATTGTACCCAATTACACCTCAGTATAAAGTTGGAGGGGTGGGAAATAAATTAGTAAGAAAGAAAAAACAAAAAGGATTGGGAAACTTCTGGTACTTGGACCTCTCCAACTTCAATGAAACCTGGATCAAACAACTGTCTGTAAACTTTGGACAAGCAGGGCAGGCCTGAGGTCCCTGCCAAAACAAACCCCATGATCCTTTTGATTTTGCTGTGAAGCACTAAATCATGGAGGAGTGGGGGACCTTTCTGTGAGGCTCAGCAAAGAATGGCTGGGGTAGGAGTGGGGGTGCTGGGCAGTTCCCCTGAAATCACAGAGAGAGATCTCCCAATGTCAAGCCGAGGGACCACCCATGACACATCTCAGTGACTAGCACCAGAGTTACTCCACACACCCCATGGAGGTCCAAAACAAGCACTGGAAGGAATAAAACGATGCAAAGATCGCTTAACTGCCCACCAAAACAAACTTCTCCACTCCTTAAAGAGAAACAGCAGCAAAAAAATGTTTAATAACAAAATGCACAATAGTCAGCCCTATGATGAAGGGATTTGAATAGAAAATTCTCCAAAGAAGTATGTCCAACTGCTACCGACCGTAGGGCAGCAAACACGGGATTTCACGAGGAGATACAGGTTCTCTGAAAGGTGGGAGCAGGTTCGGCGATGACAGTCAGACAAAAGCACTCAACACAGAGGTGAAGTTTGCCAATGCTCTAGGTGTTTATATACTAGTTTCAAGGGCACACCACAAGAGTGATTTCAGGCACAGGCAGGCATGAGAAAGATAGACAATAGTACTGTAAAAACTAAGGCCACAAGGTCAAGGTAAGACCACACCTATATACCATCACAAAAGCTAAGACCATTAAGTCAAGGTAAGACCACACCTATACGCAGCCAGAAGGGGAAGTTTGTAAAACAAAGGACTGGCTTCAGCATGTCACCTTCAGAATCACCTTCAGGACTTCACAGTCCGGGGCTCAGGGTCAGCACTTTGGCCCCCCGTCCTCTTGTGCCTCAATACCTCCCCATCTCTAGGAACATCTAATTGTTCCTAACCTTTCCTGGGCCCAGAATACAATTCTACAGATAATGAACAAATAGTAATAAAGACAAAATAGAACAGAATTATAAATGAACCCAATGTCCCCAAACTGCAGGCGGAGAGGCCAGCTATTCTCTTCACGGCTGACTTCGCATGTGGTGTGTGCCAAGGACTTCCAGGAGGCTTAACCCCGTGGGGACGATACCTCTGGTCTGGTTTCTGCCAGGTGACCGGCATTGTCACACAGACTCTACTGGAGTGGTCGTGGCATCCAACAGCACATTAAAAGATGTTTGGGCCAGGATTTAGCTCAGCGGTTCAGTGGCCTGCCTTGCAAGCACAAGGACCCGAGTTCAATCCCCGGTACCAAAACCAAAACAAAACATAAAAAATATTCAACACTGTTAATCATCAGAGAAATGAATAAAAGACATGTGAGACATCATTATATAATCATTAGAATGGCTATTCTTTTTTCTTATGTGTTATTTAAATTTTTGTTGTTTTTCTGAAACAAAATCTCACTATGTAGTTTGGGCTGGCCTTCAACTCACTGTGTAGACAAGGCTGGCCTCAAACTCGCAGTAATCCTCCTGTCTCAGCCTCCTGAGTGCTAGGATTACAAGTATGCACCACCACCACACAGCAGGATGGCGATGGCTATAATTTAAAGAAGAGAAAACAAACAAGTGTCAGCAAGGACATGGAGAAATGTAAAAGGATGTAGCCACCCTGTAGAAAAGTTTGGTTATTCCTTAAAAAGGTTAAACATAGAATTAGCATATGATCCAGCAATTTCACTTTTAGAAACCCAAGAGAATTAAAAACAGGTATTCAAATGCTTATACATGAGTGTTCAAAGCAGCACCAATCACAAAAGCCAAAAAGCTGGAACAATCCAAATATTTAGCAACCAAGGACTAGACTGTATTAGAGTTCTCCAAAGAAAGAACCAAAAGGATGGATGGATGGATGGATTGACTGATAAATAGTGTAAGAGAGGGTTTATAATGGGAATTACCAATAACTCAATGAGAAAAAAATATATAATGGGAATTAGCTAAGCCCGGCATGGTGGCGCATGCCTGTAATCCCAGCACTCAGGAGGCTGAGGCAGAAGGATCGCCATGAGTTTGAGAGCAGCCTGGGCTACATAGCGAGTTCCAGGTCAGTCTCAACTACACAGTGAAACCCTGTCTCAAAAAAAAGCGGGGGAGGGAATTAGCACATGTTATTATGGAGGCCAACAAGTACTATAATCTGATATCTGCAAATGTGAGAACCAGGAACTGTCTTGAATTAGGGTCTTGCTATGTAGCCCAGGCTGGCCTTGAACTCACAGCAATTCTCCTGCCTCAGCCTCCAAAGTGCTGGGATTACAGGCTTGTGCCACCACTCCTGGCCTCTTTTAAAATTGAAGTATTGAGGGCCAGCTATTTAGCTCAGTGTGCACCACTCCTGCCTCCAAGCACAAGGTCCCAAGTTCAATCTCCAGTACAAAAAACAAATTGAAGTATTGAAAAAAAAATTTTTTTTTGAGACAGGGTCTCACTGTGTAGTTGAGACTGACCTGGAACTCACTATGTAGCCCAGGCTGGTCTCGAACTCACAGCAATCCTCCTGCCTCAGCCTCCCAAGAAGTAATAAAATCTTATCTTCAAAATAAACCAACTGAACTTGGAACAGCAAAGGAAAAAAATGGCTGGGGATTTAGCTCAGTGGTACCACACCTACCTCACAAGCACAAGGTCCTGAGTTTGATCCCTGGTACCAAAAAGATAAAAAATGACATCATCAATCTAATCAGCTAACATTTGAAGGCATTTATTACATATAAGGTACAACACTCTAAGAAAAGGAGTAAGTAATCCAATCTCTGACACATATGTTAAGCATTTCATTATCAGTTTAGAAAACAACCTCCTTAATACCTGAATTTTTAGAGTAGCCCTGAAGTAGTGGATTTTTTATTGCACATTTTGCTAATGTGTAGTCCAAAGCTCTAGCTCATTTAAAGTTATAACAGGCTGGGTGTGGTGGCACATGCCTGTAATCCCAGCACCTGGGGAGGCTGAGGCAGGAGGATTGCCATGAGTTTGAGGCCAGCCTGGGCTACATAGTGCGTTTAAGGGCAGCCTGAACTACATAGTGAGACCCTGTTTCAAAAAACCAAATAAATAAAGTTATAACAGGATCAAAAGTTTGATCCATATATGACCTAATTTGAGACTGTTAGCTTATAAGCAGAATCATGAACTTGAATAGTATACCTAAAGAAAAAGTAATACAGAGTAGATGGATCTATCTGTTGGGTTTCTGAAAATTCCCAGTATGTCTCAACATATTGCTGCAGCAATTGGAACACTAAAAATTATATTCATAAAAAATGTAAATTCACTCACAGTATATATCCTATATAAATCCCCAGCCTATATCCTATATGTTCTTGCCATCTAAATTTATTTCAGTAATGATTTATCTTTTCCTACTCAAACATAAATGTTAACATTTAACACATCTACCTATGATTATGAAACATTTAACACATCTACCTATGATTATGAAACTTAAGTATGAAAATTTTACTTTTTTTTTGTACCAGAGATCAGACTTGGGACTTTGCACTTGCTAAGCAGGCAGCAAAACCACTGAGCTAAATCCCTG